ATAATAATAATTATAATAATAATAATAATAATAATAATAATAATAATAATAATAAAATTAAAAATAAAAATATATCTTAAAATAATTGAGTTAAATTATTAAGTATTAAATTTGGTTATAATTTGAATTTAATAAAAATAATTTATATAATTTATTTGTAATTTTTAAAATAAAAAATTCAAAATACAAATTTAATTTTTTCTTTCTAGTATTAAAAGTTGGTTAAAAAATATTTTTTAAATAATAATAATAAGAAAAAAATGTTCTTGCCGAGTGTAACAAACGCGATTACCAAACTAAACTAACCAGCGAGACTCACATCAACTTCTAACGAAATCAACTTAACTTATTTGCAGCTCAGTTTCAGATGTCAAATACAAAATTGTAATATTCTTTTTCAGCTTTGATGCCTCACAAATGATGCCAGGCAAATGTAAATGGATATTAAATTTTCATTTTTACCTGAATGCTCAAAGCTAAAATTATTATTATTATAAAATATGTATGAAGAAGTGGAATATTATACATATATATATTTTTTAAAATTATTTTTGCATTGTGCTTAGGGTATAGAATATACATATTAATAATTAAATATACATAAAAAAAATTGTGGGAGTACAAATCTCTTGCTTCATTATATTTTATATTTGTACTATAACAGCTAAAATTCTTCTGCATAAAAAAATGTATGAATAAAATATATTGATATATAAAAAATTTATTGCAAAGATGTATGGAATAGTATTTTATATATTTCCTATATTGTATATTCAACTAATGCCAACTTTTAACAGACTATTTTTGTGTCCACTTTGCTGTCATTAACAGGGCTCAAAAACTTGTGCCATGAAATGTGATCAAAATCTCTTAACTATAGTTAAAAGTTAGCACAATTTCAATTTCCATTATAATGGCAAATTTATGGCACATAGACGATGTCGCTGAGAACTCGCCAGCCGAAGTTTCCAGTTTGTTTGCTCGAACGCATTGTCATAATTTGATTAACGCTGAACGTGTCCTGCGGACCGAGCTGCAGGCTATAAGCGAGCAGCAGTAACAGCAGCGAACTCAGCCACAACCTCAACAGCAGCTCGGCTTTTATTTTTGCTTCACTGTGGCACACACACACACACACA